CAGCAAAAAAAAAACGGAAGCAAAGAATCAAAAACTGACGAAACGAACCTGGTTGGTTTCACCGGATGTACCTGGTTTCCTTGGTACCGGAATGGGTGGTTTCAGTTTCAAGCCTGTTTGCGCTAACGGTGGAGGTGGAGGCGCTGGCCTTATAATTCGAGGTGTCGTTGGTTTTTTAGTTGGATCATTAACGTTGTTGTTGTTGTTGTTGTTATAGAACGGTGTTGAGGAGGATGAGGGCAATAGAACAGAATTATTATGATTGTCATCTGCGGAATTCGTCTTTTGATGGTGGTGTTGATAGTTCGTTGGTTTCTCGTAAGTGTTGTTGTACGCGGATAGTGATGAAGTGTTAGCACCGCCTAAAGAATAACGTGCCGCTCGCTCGGAAGCACTCATAAAACTGGCACGTGCACTCTCGAATGCTGTCAACGCTTGTGCTGGTCTATGCTCCGCAATGTTCATTTCTGAAATCGACATCATACTAACTGTAAAATTCTGTTTCCAGTTCACATATTCTTCATTAAATTTTTTTGGAAATTATTGTTGGAAAATTTTGGAAATTAAATTTGGAACGGACCATTTTTTCAAGGCTCATCTAATTTTTATGAACTCAATTTCCAAATTCTTGCGCATCATTTAGCTACAATGGACTGACCATCTTTTAGTTCGCTTTTTAAGAGCGTTTAAACTCGATGGAATCAGTCGTTTCATATAATAGTTGGGAATATGTGAGCGAGACGAGTTTAAAAGTAACCTTTGATGTGCTCATTCCTTTGCATATCAAGCGAACTACTACCTTCCGTTATTGTACGTTCATCTATCGACTGAACACCACTCATCTTCGACCTCATCAATAGCTCTCTTTGCAGTTCTAATTTACGTCGCCTGTCGTCCTCATTAACCGCTGATCTGCGCTCATTTTTGACTGAAACAACGTCAAGATCAGAAAACTCGTTTATATCTTTACTATTAATATGGTCATTATGATCACTGACGATGCTAACGTTGTGCTTCTACAATAACATATTTTCACTTTTGTCAAGTTACTTACAGTGTATTTACTTACACCACAATCAACTGATTGAAATTTGATTAACTGTTATCGATTATGATTACTGATACAAACATCACCTTCATTCTATCGCTACACAAAAACAAATTACCCACTAAATGTATGCCACAAAAAAAGCATCCGCAAAGATATCATCCTGATCAAACATGCATTCCTGATTCAACCTCCCCGCAACAATGAACCATCAATCAGCTATATAAACAAATCCGAAAATCGAACGGACAGTCTTCGCAATGAGAATAAGCGCAAGGATAACATGATGACATGCGTGATGACATGCAGTATA